GCCAGATTGGGGAAGTTCTTCTTTATTATTTGTCCAAATAAATATTCAATTTCTTGCTCTTCCTCTTCTCCTTCTCGTACCCCTAAATTCAGATGTTGGAATGTTTGAAGATGTCCTGGAGGCTCCTAAGCCTCTCCTCATTTTTTGAAATTCTTGTTTCTTCATTCTTTTCTGGTTGGATATTTCTTTCTTCCTTCTGGGACACACTGTTGATTTCAGTCCTGGTTTCCTTTCTGTCATTATTGGTTCCCTGTACATTTTCCTTTATTTCACTTAGTGTAGCCTTTATTTTTTCATCTAATGTGTGACAAATTCAACCAATTCTGTGAGTACCTGATTACCAGAGTTTTGAACTGTGCATCTGATAGGTTGGCTATCTCTTCATTGCTTAGTTGCATTTTTTTCTGGAGCTTTGATTTGTTCTTTCATTTGGGCCTTTTTTTTTTTTTTTTTTTGTCTTGACACACCTGTTATTTATAAGTAGCGGAGCCTGAAGTGTTCACCAGGGTGGGGCAACCCAGTGGCTGGGTTGTGACGCTGTATGTGGGGGAGGGGTACGAAAGGGAACAATGGCACTTGCTCTGCTTTCTGCTGGATTTCAGTTACTTCCTCCACTTTCTACAAGCAAACTGGGCCCTCCTGGTGCTGTTTCCCGGGCGGGTGGGCTTGTGTACGTTCTAGGGCTTTGTGGGTCTCTTGAATGAACTCTCCTGTGAGGTTGGGAGTTTCTCCCACTGCTGCCTCAACCCCTACAGGTGTTTTCAATCAGTGGTTTGAGGCTTCATTTCCCCAAACTGGGGCCTTGGGTTGTGCGGTCTGTCTGGCTCCCCAGTTTTGCCTGGTTTATCTGCACACAAATGTGGGATTGCCCACTCCACCAGCCACCGCCTTGCCACCAGTCCTCTCTACCTGGCTGCCAGACTCTGCCTTTCCTACTGGTCTGGATGAGTGAGTCTTCTTTAACTCCTTGGTTGTCAGACTTCCATACAGTTCAATTTTTTGTCAGTTCTGGTTGTTTATTGTTTTTAAATTGTTGTTGTCCTTCTTTTGGTTGTTTGAGGAGGCACTGTGTGTCTATCTACACCTCCATCTTGGCTGGAAGTCTGATTTAAATTATTTTCAACACTACATCTAGACAGCCTATTAAAATATTAAATAATCTGAATGAAAATTTTTTTTAATGAAATAATTAAAGTTAACAAATCAAACCAACATTTTTGGGGGGCCCTCAATAATACTGTTCCTTTCACAAGGAACCTCATGCTACTCTCAAGTTTGAGAATATTACTTTAAGATAATAGATGGAGAAAGCTAAATCTTCTGAAGAACTGTACTAGGAACCAGCACTTTGCCCAGCAAAGAAGAGTCATACTTATTTGAATTGGGCAGAGAAAAAAATTTAAGGACTTCGCTGCTAAGAAATAGGGCAAAATATTGAATACGATTCGTGCAAGCACTTTCTCGGTACTTCTCTGACCCCAGGCAATCCTTCCACATGAAGCCCCACATAAAGCCCTCAGCAAGGAGCAGGTTAGTAACAGATTTTGTTTTTATTTAAAGAATTTTAGAGAAAACTTACTAAATAAAAATTTCAGGAGGCAGTTTGTATATGTAATTAATTTCTTAACTTATTCCTCTTCATTTTTATTTTTTGTTACTCTTTCCTACGTGCAATAAACTTAAATGCTGATGGTGGTGACCAAAGAAAATTATTCCTGGTAGAAACAGTTCATCTTCATGAGTGATCCTTTATCCAGAAAATGTTGTTCTTTTTGAGTTACCTTTAATTATTTTTATCCCCCCTCCTACCTTCATAGAAATTCTTTGAGGTTTTAGTCTTAGCTTACCTCTTTCCATTCTCTCAGGAATTTCATTTCCCCCCAGGTTCAAGTATCCATGATATTGTGAATGATTTAAAAATATAATTTATTAATATATTTAACAAATATTTATTGTATCTATTACGTGCAAGGAAACATGCTCCTAAATATTAAAGTTATAACATAATGAACAAGGCAGCTATCCCATAAGCTTCCCCTCATTTTTATGCATTTCCAACTTCTTCCTGGCCATCTTTCCCTGAAATCTTAAATTCGACCTGTCCCAAAGTAGTCTCTTAATTATCTCCTTCAAAATAACCTGTTTCACTGCATTTCTGTAAATTTCACCACTCTTTAGCCAGTTCATCCTATTTAGTGACTCTTCAAAACACTTAATAGATGGTGTCTCATTTATCTTTGCATGTGTGGTACCTAGTAGAGTGTAGGCCACCTGTGAACAGCAGAACAATAAATATGTAATTAAACTACTGTGCTGCTGATTCTAAATCTATATCTCTAATAGTGATCTTTGAATATTTTCCTCCTGGATGTCTTGGTAGTATTTCAATGTTGTTTTCCTCAAACCAAACTGATTATGTTCTCCTTTAAAAGAGGAGTCAGGGGCCCTGGTGTGGTAGCTCAGTTGGTTAGAGCATTGTCCTGAGATGCTAAGGTTGCGGGTTCCATCTGCAGTTAGGGCACACACAAAAATCAGCTAAGGAATGCATAAATAAGTGGAACAAAAAAATTGATGTTTCTCTCTCTCAAAAAAAAAAAAAAACAACTAGAAAAAAAAGAGGAATCAGTAATAGAGTAAACTCCAGAGTTATACAGTCTGGTCATACCACTGTAAGGCACCACTGCACGCCATGGGACACCTTAATGTTCTAGTCTCTGTAATATCACATTAGCATACTTGCCTCTAGCTGGTGCCCCAACCTGGGAACAGGTCCACAACCCAGAAACATGCCCTGACTGGGAATTGAATCAGTTGACCTTTCACACTGCAAGAAACACTCCATGCCTGTCGGAGTGTTCGTCATTATTTTTACCCTCCAACCTCCTTATCCTCAAGTGTTTCGTATGTCGCTGAGCCTACAGAAACATGATTTCTTTCCTTCTTCCAATTCTGCTGCTAATGTCATATTACAGTCCTGAGAATTCTCGTCTGGATCCTTGCAGTAGCTTCCCATTCGATTTCTTTAGGTTCTGATACTATGAAGATGAAAAAACAGGTAAAAATCCTTCCCAGACTACTGCCGAACAAGTCAGGACGAAACAGTGGCATATTTGTAAAAATGGAGATAGAGACATATACAAAGTCCTGTAGAAGGGTAAATGGAAAAATCCCCTCTGCCCCCATTTCTGAAATTGTTACTGTCCTCTAAACAGACCCCACAATCATTTAATTAGACAACAAATATTCAACAGATTTCTTCTCTTTTCTGAACTCTTTGTACTGTTCTTTCATTTTTTATATTCCCATGGGGCTAAATGGTGCCATTTTCCTGGGCCAGCATAACTCTTTCGGTTTTTAAATGAGACAAGCCCAAGTGCTCAGCCCAGGACCCGGCATGTGGAAGATACAATAAATGGTAATTTTCTTTTGGCTGAAGTAGGCCAGCGTGTTGTTGGTTTAATATGCACGTACCATTAATCATCCACTAATAAACTCTGAAATCTATGTCTCCAATGCCTCCTCAAGAAGAAAATGAATAATGGCCAAATAACTGATCAGTCCCAGGCTGGTAAGGGAAAACAAATAAAAAATCACTACTTTTGCAAAATAGGATGATAAGTACCAAAAAAGCTTGAGATGCTTAGCCAGCATGACACAGCACTTTACATTTTCTATCCTGCTATAAGGTCCAAAGGAGTGAGTAGGATTGTGGGGTTGGGGGCAGAAAGGGGGACATGATAGTACTATTTATTAAATGCTCCTATTTTAACATCAGGTGCTCTGTTGTCCCCTGTGGGGCAGAGAGATGGATGTGACCCAACCTTTACCCTCCAGAAGATCAGCCCAGCAAAAAGAGGCAGACAGGTAAACAAGAAAAATAGTTTAATTCTTTTCTGGGGGCTATACAGGCTAGTGTCTGGATACGAAAGAATAATAATCAGCCCTGGCTGGTGTAGCTCAATGGATTGAGCACGGGCTGTGAACCAAAGGGTCCTTAGTTTGATTCCCAGTTGGGACACATGCCTGGGTTGCGGCAGGGTCCCCAGCTCAGGGCCTGTGAGAAGAAAACACACACTGATATTTCTCTCCTTCTCTTAAAAAAAAAGAAAAAAAAAAAAGAAGAAGAATGATCATTACTGGGGGTGAGCAAAACTTAACTTCAGAGGAATTCTGGGGGATGAGTCAAGGTCAGAAATAGCTTCAGAATAAGTAATGCTTCAGTTGAGCTTTTTAAAAAAAGATTTTACTTATTTTCCCAGAGGGGAAGGGAGGGAGAAAGTGGTCGGGATACATGGATGTGAGAAACATTCATCAGTTGTCTTCCCCGCGGCCCCCATCCCAGGAACCGAACCTGCAACCCAAGTCATGTGCCTCAACCGGGAATCCTACCGGGAACTGAACTTCCGGTTTGCGGGAGCTTACCCAATCAACTGATCCACACGGACCTGGGCTTGACCTAGTTTTTTAAACCACAAATCGCAGCAGTGACAAATTTCAAAGATCCATCCAGGCACTGTGAAAAGGATGGATGGGGGGTGGAAAGCATTGTTCCGTAATTGAAACAACTAAGGGGGCTGTCTAAGCATACACTTCGGGGTACTGAGGGTCAGCACTAGGGCAGAGAATGTGAGGACACCCCTGAAAGGGGGGCGCATTATTTGGTTAGTTCACAGGGCTTGGTGTGGCTAAATGTGGTTTTACATTAGCAATAGCGAGACCCTGGTTTGGGTTTTAAGGGCAAGGCACACACCACCATCCAGATCCTGAAGAGATCCAGCATAACGGAGGCCTTAGGGTTTGAAGTCTATCAAAACTCTGCCTCACTCTCTGACTCCAACCGCAGGCTGCGGGTAGGGGGGATTTGCACTTCGGGCACCCGAGCCCGCCCCCAGGGAGGGAAGAGAAAGCGCTGAGTCATTCCGGTTGGGTGTGTGGGATCTGGGCGGGGCTCCGGCCAGATCCCCCTCCTCTCTCCTCCTCCTCCTGTAACGCGACCCTCCCTGACTCTCGCGAGAGCCCTACAGGCTATAAAAGTAGCACTGCATACTTGCACGCGCTTCGAGAGGCTTCTTCCTGACCTGCTTTTCTGGTGTAGGTGTCTCAGAGCCGGTGAGTGTGAAGCCAGTGTGGCCTGGGGGGGGGGGATCGGAGCGCCGAGTATCCTGCTGGTCGCTTTTTATCCCTCCGCTTGGCACGCCCGCCACAACTGGGATTGCTCTGGGGAAGTGGCCCTGTGTGGCCTGCCACCCGAGAGTGGTCAGGCCTTTCGCGCACCTTCACGCAGACCTCCGCTGTGGGTCTCGGGTGAACCTTGAGGCTAAAGTCGGCTCGAGCACCCCCCCCCCCCCCCGCCCCCCCCCCCAACCCAGGCAGAAGGCTCTGATTGGCATGGAAGAGCAGGTTGGTGGTAGTGCTTGCCGGGCTGCTCAAGAAGCTTCTAGAATGGACTGACCTGAGGTCACCCGTTCGTTTTGTGTAGGGGGTTTTGTGTAGGGGTTAAGGCTGTATCCAGTCTTGGGCCGTTACTACCTGTGGAATTTCGGGTATTAAGATTCTCTTACTCGCCCTCATTTTTCCATTTGCGGAATGGGGTTTGTGGTAATCCCAAATGCCCTCATTAAAGACTTACGATGATTTCCGAAGTGCTGTGGTGGAAGTGGTGATGGGAGTGGCAGGACCTTAAGGGGTGGTGGGTGGGGAGCGTATTTTTCGCCAGGGAGGTTCCTGGTTAGATCTGAAGAGGCCCAGTGGGCTGGAAGTCTAGCCGGCTTTCCCTGATTGGTCGGGCTTTAGTGTACGTAGTAGGGGCCACCTGGAAAAGCCTGTCTGAACGAGGCGTTTATGTTAGGGTCACACCTATATTTGCTCGCCAAGTTGCCAAGTCCCTTAGCTGTTGGGTTTTTTATTAAAAGTATTAGGCAGTAGAAAGTTTGAGATGATCAGTGCTCACTCAATGTTTATTTTTAAAAAATTTTATTTAATTATTTTTCAAGTACAGTTTTTTGTCTATTTCTCCAAATCCCACCAGCCCCCCCCCCCTCCGTGCTCCCCTCAATGTTTCTTTCGAACTTTGGCACTTGAAAATTAGCCTCTTGAGGCTTTCAGACCGATGGCTGGCTTCCTGAGTCTAAATCTTAACTCCTTAGTGTTGACTTGGGTGAATCCAGTGTAACATTGCATTTCAGCAATAAACTGTTGTGTTTACTGCCCCAGGATCTTTGTCTTGAGGTCATAAACTCATTTTTTGTTTTTTGAAAGGACTTCTAGGGCTTAAACATGACAAACTAAAGTTTAAAAAGATTTTATTTATTTTTCTTTAGAGGGGAAGGGAAGGAGAGAGGGAGAGAAATGTTAATGTATGGTTGCCTCTCATGTGTCCCCTGCTGGGAACTGGCCTGCAACCCAGGCCCTGACTAGGAATCGAACCACAATGGTGGTTTGCAGGGCCTGCACTCAAGCCACTGAGCTACACCACCCAGGGCAGAAATTGATGTTTTAAAATGAAAACAGAAGCTGATATTTCAGAGCTATGTGATAATCTGCTTTTGTTTCAGAAGTTGGAAAACTAAGCTTATGCCTCCTATTGTAATGTAAGTTAATGTATTTATTCAGGGCCACCAGACAAATCCTTCATTGTACTACAGCTAAGTCTAAGTAGATAAAGGGGTGCTCTGGTTATCTAGAGAAAGAAGACCTATCTCAAATTTATTTCCTCTTTTCATCTTTTTCAGCTGATAGCAAGATGTCTTCAGGAAATGCTAAAATTGGACACCCTGCCCCCAACTTCAAAGCTACAGCTGTTATGCCAGATGGTCAGTTCAAAGATATCAGCCTCTCTGACTACAGAGGTAAGAGCAGTTACATTAGGTTCATCGAAATGCAATTATTTTGCTATTTAGGGATGGCTTGTTCAACTTTTGTATCTTTGTATTGTTGTAAAATGATTTATGTCTCCTAGGTCAAGGTGTTTCGGGTGCCAAGTGGTGATTATCAAGTTATTACAGGGTAGTTTTTCTAGACCCAGACTATTCCAAAGAAAGCACATGCTTCATTATGCCTGAATATAGTAGCTCAATTATCTTCTCAGTACTCCTCAATTGTATTATTGGAGATAGTTTCATTATCTGCCTCATCACCTTGTAAGAGATCTTAAGCAATTTAAAGTCTCACAGCTCATGTTTGGTTTATGAAATATGCCAAAGGTACTGTATTATTATTTAGGCACATTCCCTTCACTGTTTTGCCCCCAATGATGAGAGTTGATGTCATCATTGGAACAGCTCTCCATTCTTTTACAGCTTCTGCAGACACAAGTCAAGTTCTAATAAGGCTCTCCTTTACCTCACATTTGGGAGCAGCTGGGTCTTCTGAGATAATTAAGACTAGATTCCTTTTAATGCAAACCTGAAAGGTGACAAGTATGCCTTTTTTAGGGATATATAGTAATCAGTTCTCGGAGTCAGCTTTTGGGTAGAACATGTAACCAGGTTTCCTGGCACACTGCACTTGGTGGTTGGAATGATAGCAGGTTAGTGGGACCCTATGAGGGGAAGAAGCTTCTGGCAAACGTGGTAAGTAGGATCATAGGGCGTTGATCCTGGCCTGAAAGTAAAGGCAGGATGTTTAGGAAGAGGCGCTTTCTGCCCTCTTTTTTTTTTTTTTTTTTAAGATTTTGTTTATTTATTTTTAGAGAGGGGGAGGGAGGGAGAAAGAGAGGGATAGATACATCCATGTGCTAAGGGAAACATGGATCAGTTGCCTCTTGCGCGCCCCCAACTGGGGACCTGGCCTGTAACACAAGCATATGCCCTGACCGGGAATCAAACCAGCAACCTTTGCTTTGTGGGAGGAAGCCCAATTAACTGGGCTGTGTTGGCCAGGGCTCTCTGCCCTATTTGAAACTGCTTGTTAGGCAGTACCCTGGAGAGGTTGTTTGGAGAAGTTTCTACTGGTTCTGATTTTCAAAGTGCATTTCAAAGGAGCAACTTTTTTTTGACTCTCAAACGTTTCTGTGTCTTGGAAGTGAGTATTTGTTCTAATAGCTCAGTCTATGAGGTGTGAGAGGCTACTTGGTCAGTTAAAGTTCTACTCAATTGGTCATCTGAGTGACTTCAGTAAAATTCCAACAAGAAATCCTGTTTTCTACCAGGATTTTCAGAATATTTGCCATATAAAATTTTTTTTAAATTAATTGAACATACATTATTCTTTTAATTTTGATACCTACATTTTTTAAAGATTCTATTTATATTTAGAGAGAAGGGAGAGAGAAAGAGGGAAGCATCAATGTATGGTTGCCTCTTGTGCATCCCCTACTGGGGACCTGGCCTGCAACCCAGGCATGTGCTCCAACTGGGATCAAACCAGCGACCTTTTGCTTCACAGTCCAGCACTCAGTCCACTGAGCTGTACCAGCCAGGCCTGATGCGTAAAATTTTTGTCAGGCTTGTTAAGGAACATGTTTGTGGTGATTCAGGTGATCACTTAAACCTTACCCATTCCATGACTGTGGTTCATTGTGAAAGAAGTGCAAAGGCTCTGACTTCCTCTTTTTGGTCTCTTACTGCCCTGCAGCAGAGAATACAGCATCTCAGCTTTTATTAGGCACTGATTTTAAGCATTAGCATTGGGCTCTCTGGTAGATAAAACTGCATTCTTGCTTTTCTTCATTGGAGAACTTGGTGTCTGCTAATTTTAACTACCCGGAGAAGATCAAAATTAGACTGAACAGTGGTCTCTAATTGGCAGCTAATACAGAGACAGAAAAATAAAGCATCTACTGGAAGGAACTTTTTTACAGTGCCTCCTGCTGCAAGAGATTCTGAAAGTAGCTTGCTAGGAGGCTAAGCGACATTTGTGTTTGAGCATTTTGGTATCTAACATTTGTTTCTGGTATCAACCTAAAAAGGCCTCATGCCCTGACTGGCATAGCTTAGTGGGTTGGGTGTCCTCATACAAACAAAAGGTTGCTGATTTGACTGCCTGTCAGGGCATGTGCCTGGCTTGCAGTCCAGGTCCCCGTTGGGGGCGTGTGAGGCAACTGATCCATGTTTGTCTTGCACATCAATGTTTCCCTCAATTTTTTTCCTTCCTTCCATTCTAAAAATAAATAGATAAATAAAATCTTTAAAAAAAAAGACCTCCTTTTCTATGGGAAAATGTCTTTAGTTTTCTGTTCTCTATAAAGCAAGGATGTCTGTTTCAAAGGCTAATTTGGGGCTTTTGTTTTTTTCTAGGAAAATATGTGGTGTTTTTCTTTTATCCTCTTGACTTTACCTTTGTGTGCCCCACTGAGATCATTGCTTTCAGTGATAGGGCAGAAGAATTTAAGAAACTCAACTGCCAAGTGATTGGTGCTTCTGTGGATTCTCACTTCTGTCACCTGGCATGGTAAAGCTGTTGGTCCACTTGGCATGTGGACTTTTTAACTAAGCAGGATCTGGGACACGGAGGCTTTGGCAATAATGTTTCTCTAGTATTGGCTTCTGGCATCTCATGGACGGGGAGGGTAAAGGCTCTGGCTTCCTCTTTTTGCTTTCTTATTACCTGGCAGCAGAGGAGAAGGAGCTTGGGTTGCATCTGAGTATACCCAAGTTTGATGTTTTGGGGGGAGGTCAGGAATGTTAGAAGGGGGGTGTGTAAGTACAGTTAATGTATTTGCTACACAAGAGTTTGAATGAATGTGCACGCCTTTTCCTGTAGGGTCAACACACCCAGGAAACAAGGAGGACTGGGATCCATGAACATTCCCTTGGTGTCAGACCCCAAGCGCACCATTGCTCAGGACTATGGGGTCTTAAAGGCTGATGAAGGCATCTCATTCAGGTATATATACCTGTGGGTATAGGGGCTGACATTCATCAGGAGAGGTATGATTGGCTGAGGGCCTTCTATTTGGAGAAAGAGCCCTGATCAGTACAGACTTCTTTCTCATTTTATTTATTTTTTTACCAGTTTTATTGAGAAATAAATAACATACATCACTGTGTTAAGTTTAAGGTATAGAGGATGACGGTCTCATTTCATTCTTTATTTAGGGGCATCCTCACATAAGGGCAAGGCCTGTGCAGGTCTAAGAGACCAGCCCATTCCATTGCTTCTGTATTCTGACAAACCAGTTTTTAAACCTGTACTGCCCTTTCTCAAGCCTTCAATCTCTTCTTCCCAGGGGCCTCTTCATCATTGATGAAAAAGGTGTCCTTCGCCAGATCACGGTAAACGACCTTCCTGTTGGCCGCTCTGTGGATGAGACCCTGAGACTAGTTCAGGCTTTCCAGTTCACTGACAAACATGGAGAAGGTAATTCAGTCCACCTGGTGACAGAGTGGTGGTAGAGTGGGAAAAGTGTAGGGACAAAGTTTATCAAACAAAAAGGATGGTGATTCTGTCCCTTCAAGAAATTGAAGTCTCTGAATTATAGTGGGTTGTGGGTGTAGGGTAGTGAAAAAGTTTGGGGAGGAGAATATAAAGGCTGTATATTACTCCACCTGTACATTCCCAGCTCTTTCCCTGCTCATTTAGAATTATTCACTGTTCCACATTTAATTTACTAAAGGAGTGTAGGGATATCTCGTAGGCGTATAAGGGTGAAGTGAAAGGTTGAGAACCATATCTAAAGTTTGCCGTTCTTGAAGTGTTATTGGGAGAAGAGTTAATCTCTGTAATCCATATTTGTTTTATTGGGGTTTTAAAAAATTAATATGACTAGCTTTGAAATATGGAAAATAAAGTAGGACTACTACAACTTACCCAAAGACAATAAGCAGATACAGCTAACACATTTCTATTTTTTTAAAGATTTTATTTATTTTTAGAGGGAGGGGGAGGGAGGGAGAAAGGGAAGGAAACGTTGGCCTGCAGCCCAGATTTGAGGAGAGTTAGAGCTAGAACGTTTCAGATGAAACATCAAGGTTCTTCACTTAAAAGTTTCAGGGTCAGAGATAATGTGTGTGTGTGTCTGACCTTGTAAAGTCTAAACACAACTGAGCAGATACCACTTAAGGATTTCATTTTATTATCTTTTTATAAGATTATTTATTTTTGGAGAGATGGGAAGGGAGGGACAAAGAGAGGGAGAGAAACTGATGTATGTGAGAGATACATCGAATAGTTGCCTCTCACAGCCCCTAACCAGATACCTTGCCCACAACCCAGGCATGTGCCCTGACTGGGAATTGAACCAGTGACCCTTTGGTTCTCAGGTCAGCGCCCAATCCACTGAGCCACTCCAGGGTGAGGTTTTTATTTTTTAAAGATTTGTTTATTTAGCTTTAGAGAGGGGAGGGAGGGAGAAAGAGGGACAGAAACATCCATGTGTGAGAGAGACATCAATTGGCTCCCTCTCACACACCCCAACTGGGGACCTGGCAGGACATCACCTGAAACCCAGGCATGTGCCCTGGCTGGGAATCAAACCTATATGACCTTTTGGTTCGCAGGCTGGTGCTCAGTCCACTGAGCCACACCAGCCCGGGTCAATTAAAGGTTTTTAGTTTAGCATTTGCTAAGAGTATAGGCCCTTTTCTTATTGCTCTAGCACTAGTACTTCTTCATAAACACATTTTAAAAAAATAGATTTTCAGAGAGAAACCCTGATTGGTTGTTCCACTTATTTATGCATTCACTGGTTGGTTCTTGTATATTCCCTGACCAAGGATCAAACCTGCAACCTTGACACACGGGGACAGTGCTCTAACCAAATGAGCTACCTGGTGAGGGTCTCTCCTTAAACATTCTGATTGCCGATACTGAACTACTTGACCCCAGCTTCTGAATTTGTAAGGCTGTAGCTTTTTTACTCCTTTTTTCATCCCCTAGTGGTATTGGTATGAGACAGCTTTATCCCAACTAGTCATTAGTTTAGTTTTAAAGACTTGGTTCCCATTAGAGACTTCCGCCAAGATGGAGGCTTAGGTGGAAGCACTGTGCCTTCTCACACAGCCAAGTTTAAAAACAACCAAGTTTTAGCAACAAAAACGCAGCCAAACCACAGAAAATTGAACTGCACGGAAGTCTGACAACAACAAACCCTTTAGCCAAACCGTTAAGAGGGGCAGAGCCAGCAGCAGAGCAGGTGGGGCAGGAAAAGAACCACCGGACCAACGGGTGTGCGACCCAGGTGCGCCAGCAGTTGTGGGCAGATCCCAGGTGTGGAGAAGCGGGCGGACCCACTGAGGGCTGATTGCGGTCACACATTCGTGTGCAGATGAACCGGTGAAGGAGCTAGAGGTGGTGAGATGGACCATGCAGGCCCCAGTGGCGGGAAGCAGCAGAGGGAACCGCCCCCACATACAGCGTCACAAACCAGCAACCTGGGTGGCCCCACCCTGGTGAACACTTCAGGCTCCGCTCCTCATACATAACAGGCATGAACAGATCAAAACATGGCTCAAGAACAACTCAGCCCCAGAGCCGATAAATCTAAGCAATGAAGAAATAGCCAAACTTTCAGATGCACAGTTAAAAACACATGATCAGGATGCTCACAGAACTGCTCGATTTTAGACACAAATTAGAGGAACATATGGAAGCTAAACTAATTGAAATGAAGGGAAATACACAGGAAACCAATAGTAATGGAAAGGAAACTGGGACTCAAAGGAGTGGACCAGAAGGAAGCAAGAAACAAGAATCCAAAAAAATGAGAGGCTTAGGAACCTTCAGGACATCTTTAAACGTTCCAACATTGAATTATAGGGGTACCAGAAGGGGAAGAGGAACAGCCACGAGTGGAAAGCTTATTTGAACAAAAAATAAAGGAGAACTTCCCCAATCTGGCAAAGGACATAGACTTCCAGGAAATCCAGGAAGCTCAGAGAGTCCCAAAGAAGTTGGACCCAAGGAGGAACACACCAAGGCACAGCATCGTTACATTAGCCAAGATTAAAATGGAGAGAATTCTAGAAACAGCAAGAGATAAGAGGACAGTCACCTACAAAGGAGTTCCCATCAGACTGTCAGCAGATTTCTCAAGAGATCTCACAGGCAAGAAGGGGCTGGAAAGAAGTATTCCAAGTCATGAAATCCAAAGACCTACATCCAAGATTGCTCTATCCAGCAAAGCTTTCATTTAGAATGGAAGGGCAGATAAAGTGCTTCTCAGATAAGATCAGATTCAAGGAGTTCATTATCCCCAAGCCCTTATATGAAATGTTAAAGGGATTTATCTAAGAAAAAGAAGATAAAAAAGATGAACAGTGAAAAGACAACAAACTCGCAGTTATTAACAACCACACCTAAAACAAAAGCAAACTAAGGATAGCTAGATCAGGAGCGAACCATAGAAATGAAGATCACACGGAGGGTTAGCAGAGTGGGAGAAGAAGAGGGGAGAAGATACAGAAAATAAGTAGCATAGATGGTGGGTAGAAAATAGGGAGGGCAAGAATAGTATGGGAAGTATAGAATCTAAAGAACTTGAGACACATGGTCATAAACTAAAGGGGAATAATGGGGGAGGGGTGTGCAGGGTGGAGGGGAAGGAAGGGGGAAATAGAACAACCGTAATGGCATAATTAATAAAATATATTTAAAAAATACTCAGTTCCTCCAGCTGTAGGTGCTGGGTATGTGGGGGTAGGGGATCATGAACCCTACCCCCCACCCCAGCTTAATGTAATTGAGAACAGGATAGTTGTGATTAAGTGCTACAGAATCAGATTAAGTGCACACATGGACCTGGACAAATTTCTTGAATTACTATATTTTCTCAAGAAATTAAGTACTTTAAACTAGCTTCCTAAAGCTCTTTGAACTCTTGATGCTGTGATTTAAAGACATGGAAGTTGTTAGTCTGGATTAGTGGTTATCTGTTTGGGGACCCAAAAATGAAACTTGGCTAGAGTGGGAGATAAGGATCAATAGGGATCAATGAGCACTGGTACCAGAAGGCATCTTTTGCAAAAGCATGTGTGGGACTAGATTGAGGGAGCAGAAGGCTGCTGAGACTGCCCTCTAGTGGGGGGTGAGCACGAAGATGGGAGGAGTGGCAAAACTGGCCTTTTACTGGATTTTCTGAAAGGACCTTGCTCTTGGGCTAGGCTGTTAAACCCAAGTGTTCATGCCTGAAGCTTGCTTCTTCAGGCTCTGTTGGTCTCTGCTGCTTCCCATTCCACTAGAACAGACACAGCTTTCTGTGTGCAGCCTTTTATGGCTTATGGTAGTTAAAAATGAGAACCTATGAATACTAAGTACTTTTTATGAAGTACATTACCTGTGTCGTTTATTTGACAAGTAACCCTAACCCTACCTTCTTGTTTTTTTTTTCAAACTTAAAAAGTTTTGTATTTTAGAGAGAGGAAAGGAGAGTGAGAAGCATCAATCAGTTTGTTGTTCCACTTATTTATGGTTGATTGTTGTATGTACCCTGACTGGGAATAGAACCCACAACCTTGGCATATCAGGATGATGCTCTAACCAACTGAGTTACCTGGCCAGGGTCCTATGATTTTTTTGTTGTTGTTGAGATGTAATTGACATAACGTTAGTTTCAGGTGTGCTACATAATAATTCATATAACCTACATTCCTGTTTTTTTAAAATATTTTTATTTTTAGAGAGGGGAATGGAGGGAGAGAAGAAGACAAATGTGGTTGCCTCTTAAGAGCCCCCGGGCTGGGGACGTGGCCTACAACTGAGGCATGTGATCTGACTGGGAATTGAACTGGCAACCCTTTGGTTCACAGGCCAGCACCCAATCCACTGAGCCACTCCAGCCAGGGAGGGCTATTGTTATTTTTTAAAATTTTCACCTGAGGACATTTTTTTATTGATTCTAGAGGGAGAGAAGAGACATCAATTTGTTGCATGTCTTGAATCGAACTGGTGACCCTTTGGTTTGCAGGCCAGTGTTCAGTCCACTGAGCCACACCATCCAGGGCTAGACAGAGGAATCTTTTGATTTCCTGTTAGCAGCTAGTGTGAAACTTTTCACTGCCTGTGGCCTGGGATTTGATTTTATGCTGCTCTTTGTTCTATGGAGCGTGTTTATGTTTAAGATCTGTGTTTTAACCTTTTGGTGCCCCTAAAGGCAGTAACCATGTAATAATCAAAATGGAATTTCAGGAAAGTAATGGCATCTGGGCCTGTCATTTAGCACTTGTTCTATCCATACCTTGTTCCCAGACAGCTGGATTCAGTCTTGACATTTGAGGCTATTCCTTGGACTGAAAGGGTCCTTCCCTCTCATTTGAGCAAGTGAGATTTTTTAAAAAAATCTTTCCTGAAAGAAATGCTTATTGATTTTCAAGAGTAGAGGAAGGGAGGGAGAAAGAAAGGGAGAGAAGCATTGATTGGTCACCTGCCGCATGTGCCCATACTGGGGACTGAACCTGCATCCTAGGCATGTGTCCTGACTGGTAATATAGAACGGAAAGACGCTTGAACCGAGCCACACTGTCCAGAGCTGAGCAAGTGAGACTTACTGCTCTGTTACTAGTGATTATGTCTCTAGAAGAAAAGTAGTAAAAACACAGTGGAAAAATCAGCAGTGCCCCCCCGCCCCCTTGTCTCACTTTCTTCAAATTAGCCAAAGGAGCATTGCTAGCTCAGGATCCTTGTAGGAGTGTAGGAAAAGGGTGAAGGCTGTGGGTTTTGCGTGCGTGTGTGTGTGTGTGTGTGTGTGTGTGTGTGTAAGATTCAAACTCAGACCTTTTGCTTAGCAAGGGCTGAAGGCAGGCTAAGTGCATGCAGGGCCTTCTGACCTAAAAAACATGGAGGAGGAAGAAATAGTGTTACGGTTTAAACAGCCCTGGCTTTGTTGTTTATTTAGCTTAATTTTTTCTTGGGTACAGGGGTGAGTCATTTTGTAAGTGAAATCATACAATGTTTGTCGATTGTGTCTGCTTAACATTGTTTTCAAGTTTTGTCCTTGTTTGGGCACATGTAACATGGATCAGATCTTGTGTAGCACATTTTGTGTATCCATCTGTTGATGGACACAGGGTTTTCACCTTTGGGCTATTGTGACTAATGAATGCTGCTAGATTGTTGGTGAACAGGTGTCTGAGTCCTTGTTTCCAAATATTTTGGGTAAATGCATAGGAGTGGAATTACTGGGTCATGTTTAGCTTCCTGAGAAACTGCCAAAGTTTTGCATAGCAGCTTCACCTTTTTACAGTCCCACCAGCAATACCAAGCGTTTTCTGTATCCTTACCTACATTCATGTAGAAAATTTTTTTATACCATAACCATCCTAATGGGTATGGTAGCTGATTGTGGTTTTGATTTGCATTTGGCAGTGTTAAGCATATTTTCATGGGTTTATGACTGTTTGTATATCTTTGGAGAAATGTCTATTATTTTTCTGTAAGTTGGGTCCAGTGTCATACTTTTGCATGTGGAAATCCAGCTGTCCCAGCACCATTTTTTGAAGAACATATAAGCTTATTTTTAAAAATAATGTATTGGAATCATACATATAATTGCAGAGGACATGAATATGCATTTATCTGTTGTCTTCTGTTAACAATTCTTGCCTTAAATACTGTATACAGGTTATTTTTAGGACAAAGGATACAGTTGAGGCTGTTGCTCAATTTTATTTTTTAAAGGTTTTATTTATCTATCTTTGGAGGGGAAGGGAAAGAGAGAGGGAGAGAAACACCAATGCATGGTTGCCTCTTGTACGTCCCCTGCTGGGAACTGGCCTGCAACTCAGGCATGTGCCCTGACCGGGAATTGAACTGTGGTTGTTTGGTTCGCAGGCCCGCTTTCAATCCACTGAGCTATACCAGCCAGGACTGTTGCTTAACTTTTTTTTTTTTTAAAGATTTTATTTATTTATCTTTAGAGGGGAAGGAGAGAGGGAGAGAAACATCAGTGCATTGTTGTCTTTCATGCATCCCCTGCTGGGAACTGGCCTGCAGGGAACCAGCCTGCAACCCAGGCATGTGCCCTGGCTGGGAATTGAACTGCGATCCTCTGGTTCGCAGACCTGTGCTCAGTCCACTGAGTTACACCAGCCAGGGCTGTTGCTTAACTTTTTAAAATGAAATTTCAGCCCTGGCCAGTTGGTTCATTTGGTTGGGGTATCATCCCATATACCAAAAGGTTGTAGGTTTGATCCTGTCAGGGTGCATACAGGAGGCAGCTGATTGATGTTTCTCTCCTCTCCTTTCCTCTCTCCAAAAGACATAACAAAATAAAAATGTATCCTCAGATGAGTTAAAAAAACTAAATGTCAGGTGGTAAATCAATAAATTATATGTAATAGTAACAGGGCTATGGTGAAGATTAAATGGTATGTTTGTTGTTAGCCTTGCACTAAAAGGTTGAATGATCTAGACTAGTAGGTTAGGTTTCCTGGTACTTGAGTGATTTAGGGTTTTTAGGGCTCAGGTTTGGTTTTGAGGCATCCATTTGCCTCAAATGGGGGAGGAGGGTGGAGCTAACCACTGAGCAAATTATTAATTTGTGGTAATGTTCTCTTACAGTGTGCCCAGCTGGCTGGAAACCTGGCAGTGATACCATCAAGCCTGATGTCCAGAAGAGCAAGGAATATTTCTCTAAGCAGAAGTGAGCAGTGGGCCATTACATAGGGTCATGGTGGCAGTATACAACCATGAGAACAAAACCTCTCTTTTACTATTGTCATGCTTAAAACACAAGATCTTAGATTTAGGGCAGATGTGATCTGGGACAAAACAGGACCTTCCTGCAGGGTTTGGGGAGGCCAGCCTTTTTCTAGAGGAAATGACCTGAAGTTATGAAACAAGCCAACTGACTTGTGCGGTAGTGGGGCATCACCATTTTTTGTGTAGTTTTTATTAAACTTGAACTGAAACCTTGTTGTTTGTTTATTTTAGAGGGCATTAGCCTTTGATTTACTCTTTGCTTTCTTTTGTTAGGGGAAAGTGAGAAGTGAGAGCTGCTTCAGAATCAGGAAATTATAGAGGGGAGATGCAAATAGGGAATGGAACTAAACCAGGATATTAACGTTTTCTTCTACTATATTTGGAAAAAGAGCAAGACCTGCTGTGGTGTTGGCCATAGTCCTTCAGTTTATTTTATAGGCTGCATTGTAGGTTACAGCTTCAGTGACATTGATTTCTTGGGCATTTACCTTTTACACTATTGGGAAAGCTTTATGAGAACCTGAAGCTTGGCTTCGTCTGATAAAAGCCTATTACTGGTGCTGTAAAAGATCAGAATTAGAGGCTCTGTACCTTTGGAACTGAAAGGGGGAGAAGACCTAGCACCTGGGCTGGTGTTTGTAGGGTAGGACATTTGGTATCAAAAGCATAGAGTTAAACACTTGTCACTTTCCCTGGGTTCTAGCCTTGCATTGAGGGTAGCCCTTTTTTTTGGCCCTCATGTCATTGTTATGAGATAGTGGTGAGGGTTGGAGTGACTCCTGGGCCTTTGTGGTTAGGGCAGATTCAGAATGAAGGATACTTCAGTGTATGGTAGTGATGATCTTCCAGACACGACTTTATCAGCTACCCTCAGCCTACAGCCTGTTGAGTATTCTGTATTGTGAACAGCAATACAGGATTCCCAGGGCCTTTAATAACAGATGACACACTGCATACTATTATGATAAGCATTGTTTCTGAAATGCATTACAGTCCTGGCCAGCTTGGCTCAGTTGGTTGGATTGTCATCCCAGAATTGAAAGGTCGCTGGTTTAATTCTGGATCACTCCCCAGTTGGGGTGAGTGCAGGAGACAGCTAGTCTAGTCAGGGTTTCTCTTCATGTCTGATACTTCTCCCCCCTGCTCTCTCAAATGAGAATAAAATATCAGTCCCTAAGACAACACTGAGACACTTTTTTTAGGTTTTTATAGTTGGAAGGAGAAAGATGGAGAGAATACAGATTGGTTGCCTCCTGCATACCCCAAACTGGGGGCCTGGCCTATAACCCAGGCATGTGTCCTGACTGGGAATTGAACCAACCACCTTTTGGTTCTCAGGCTGGCACTCATTCCACTAAGCCATACCAGCCAGGGCCAGAGACATTTCCTTGTACCATTACTTTGAGGATTACTGCCCCTAAACTCTTATCACGTAGCATCTTGGAGCACTACAGAGCATACACATGCCCAAATAGGTGGGAATTCTGTTTCTGCCTTTTTTCCTCCCCCTATTGAAATAGTTGCCTTGGTCTTAGAGTTCTTGTCTTGACAAAATGTCTCTGAGCCATGTTATCTTCATTGAAGATCTCTATCATTCTTTTATCAAAAGTAATCTTTTACCTAAAAATCTATGCCTTGCCAAAAGTCCTAGCAAGTACTACTAGTGTAAATAGGGATCCCACAGGGAATAGGGGAGGGGAGGGGATATCAAGGACCAGGAGTTGTAGGTGGTGAGGTCCTGAGGCTGAACCAACCTTGGGTTCTGGGATTCTGAGGCTTGTTGGGTATTAGTGTCAAGAGAAGATCTGGGGATGAAGAGCTAGGATGCTCTGAGGGTTGGGCCAAGCCCAACAGTGCCAAGCGTTGGGCAGGTGGTGTGGAAAAGTAGGCCTTCTGCTCTTCAGAGTAGCGCTCCTGCGGTGTCACAGCATCCCTGTATGTCCAGTCACGCCAATGAAAATTGAAGCCTTCAAGCAGGGCAATTCGGTCAGCTCTTGTTGGTACAGAGTCGAGTGGTTTAGTGGGTGGCAGATCTGGCACCTCTACTCCTGGCAGCAGCACTACCCCTCGAATGGCAAACCAGCCCCCAAATCGGGGATGTATGCACACACCTGATATATGCTGGGGAAAGGGTAAAGAAAAGTAAGGTCATGGATGTCACCTTGGCACCAAGTTCAATTACCATCAGTGCAACTAAGCTTATTCATTTCTTTCTTTCTTTTCTTTTTTTTTTTTTAAGATTTTATTTATCTTTAGAGGGGAAGGAGAGAGGGAGAGAAACATCAATGTATGGTTGCCTCTAGTGCATCCCCTGCAGGGAACTGGCCTGCAGGGAACCTGCCTGGAACCCAGGCATGTGCCCTGACTGGGAATCGAACCGTGATCCTCTGGTTCACAGGTCCGTGCTCAATCCACTGAGCTACACCAGCCAGGGCACAGCTTATTCATTTCTTACTCAGCAGACAGTGATTTCACATATGAACCTGTAAGTGGGGAACCTTTTCATGAACTCATTCTGGCTATGAGGAAGGGTTTCGGAAGCTAATGGTCAAATCAACTTCGAAGTCTCAGCACTGCTCTGCCCCCTCCCTTCTGTAACAGGGTTTTATAGACTAGGTTCTCTGACCTGGTTTCCCAAGTTGGGACTCCCAGAGAGCACATGGGGCTGGACCTCAGGATTGTGTCTACAAACTCCTTTTCTCATGGGAGGTGGAGAAACCTCAGATCTGATATCTTGATGGGCCATTGCCATTTTCTGTCTCTAGTCATTCATACTTGACCTCTGACCTGGGTTCCCCAGGGGTCAGCCTCTACATCCTGTCGTTGGTAGTAGTAAGCAGCCCCTGCCACATGGGCTGCTGTCTGGGCCAGAATCTTGGGGCGCCGGTTAGGATGTACCTCGTAGTCAGCGATGACTTCCATCTGCAGCTCTGGGAGGCTCTGGGATAGAGGACAAGACAGAGGTTCCTTTCAGCATGAGAGGAATCATGACTTGTTCTAGAGAGCCCTAATCGGTGTTAACATGGTCCAGTCCTTAGAAGTCATGTTTGAAGGGAAAACGTAACCTTAAATTTGAGGGAGGGGCTCCAGTGTGAAGAAAATGATTACTCTGTCCAGGAGGGCCCATGTTTGAAGGTCTTGCTCAGAAACCTCCATAAGGGGTGACTTGGCTCTGTCCTCCACAGTCCCAGTGTATGTGTATGTATAGAAACATGTAGCCCTGGCTGGTCTAACTCAGTGGATTGAGTGTGGGCCTGTGAACCGAAGGATCGTGGTTCAGTTTCCAGTCAGGGCACAAGCCTGGGTTGCAAGCCAGTCCCCAGTAGGGAGTGCATGAGAGGCAATCATACACTGATATTTCTCTCCCTCTCTCCTTCCCTTCCCCTCTAAAGATAAGTAAATAAAATCTTTTAAAAAAAGGATTATCTTCTTATCTTAAAAACAAACAAACAACATGTACATGTTGAGTGTGTGCTGGGGAAAAACTGTTTTCAAAAGGCCCCAAAGGCAGCACGAAGCTTCCAGGTTAGGGTAAAGACAGGTGAGAGATGCCTGGGGCATGTTCGGCTTATTTCTATTTCACTTGGAGATCAAGGGAAGTCTGGTCTGAAGTTCACAGAGTTGCCCATCAGGGTATGGTGAGTAAAAGCGATTTCAGACCTGAGGGGGCTACAGGAAGGTGGCTGAACCTGGATCAAGGAGGCAGAACAGGGACAGATCGTAGATATCATCCTAAAGGTCTAGATACTGCACTCAGCTTGGAGGAGCTCAAAGCAATTGCACACTGGGGAAGCTGGAGGAGGATATGAATGTTGCTCACCTCTCTAACACGGTCCAGATGGTAGGCCACACACTGGTCCACAGGGTCAGTCAGTGATTGGAGGTGGCAGCTCTGCAGGAAGGGCTTGAGGGCCTTGTCAAACATGGCAGGTGTGCTGAGTACCAGGAAGGCCAGGGTAGGTCCTGGCAGAGGTAGGTGGAAGGCCGGAGGTAGGAGTGCATTGTACCATGCCACCTGGAACAGAAAATTCATACCTTAACCTGGCATTTAAGGCTTCATATATTTTGCCCCAGCCTCCAGCTCATGCATTGAATCACTGAATTTCTATTGATGATCTGCAATGTGTGTGTGTGTGTGAAGGACTTGCCTGAATTGGACAGGATGTTTAGAATACAGAGGCAGAGAATTCTTGAACAACTAGGAACAAAAAGAAATTGTGCCGTGTTTGGTGCAATGATAGGGCCAGGTGAAGGTCCTCTGAAATCAGAATTCTAAGTCTTCTTGGAAGCTGAGTCTTTAAGGCTTGGAGGCAAGCTGACAGGTTGATATGGGGAGGAAGAATCTGTTGTGTATTTTAAATGGAGGTGACAGCATAAACAAAGAGAGGCAAAAAGTACAGAACATATTTGGAGAATAGCAAATTGTCTAGTTTGATAGAAGTAGAGGGTTTGTAGAGAGAAGCAGAGGGAGAGAAAGGCTGGAGATCAGTAGGAAAGATTGGCTTTGAATACCAACTTAAGGAACATGGGTCTAATTTGGTAATAACACAGGGCCGTTGAAGATTTAAGGAGCAAACTGACCCGATCAATTTTGAGAAAGATTAATTTGGCTGCAGTATGGAGGGTGGATTGGAGGCAAAAAGACAGCAAGGAGGCTACTGCAGTAAATCCAAATGAGAAATGGCCTGGACCAGAGCATAGCTGTGTTGGATGGAAGAGTCTGAATTTGAGAAATTTGGAGACAGATTCCTAAAGGTACTTATGTCTGACTGGATATGGGGTTGAGAGAAGTAGGAGCCTAGAATGACTGGCTCCTCAGTACAGGTCTTCAGTACAACAGCTCCAACTACCTGAGTCCACCTGTCCACCAGATAGCATCCTTACTGTCCCCCCATACCTGTTACCTACCACCTCCACACCTATATTCAAATTGTTCCAGATATTTGGGATGTAATAACCCTTCTTCTAATCTGTTTTCATGTAAAGCTCAACTCTATTTTTTCTGGAAAATCCTCTCTCAAACTAGACCCAAGATACTCCTCCATCTACATCCTCTACCAGCACTGATATGGGCCACTCAGTGGAAGGGGTGAGAGTAGCCTGTCTCTTAAACATTAGGCAAAGGGCTCAAGCTACACAGCTCAGTGCAGGAGGCACTGGAAGGAATGGAGGAAATGGACTTACGTAAACAAGGGAAAGTTGTGGAGCCAGACTTCTGTGTACTTAGGGTAGAGTTAATATATCCAGCCCAGTGCTAGTGACTGGCAACACCATGAACTATGCTTCTGTTGCTGGATGGAACAAAGCAGCCAGTTGTTTGCTTGTTCAACAACAGGAATGTCCTTCCCTCCTCAAATGACCTAAACCCTAGCCATGCAAACGTTCCAAGCCTTGCTCTCTCCTCCTTCAGGAATCTTCCAAAGTGACTCTGGCCCCAACGGTGCCTTTCTTCCCGTTAATTATGTAAGTGACAGAGTCACAAGGTCACTGGATCATATGGTGTCTTCCATTCATCAATCCAGCACTGTCTGGGGGTAAAAGGAAAAATATGCAACTGCTCCTACCTACCCGAGCCCCCTTTGACGAAGTCCTGGTAAATCGGACAAAGGACCAGAGGAGCTCGGGAAGGATCAGAAAGGCTTCCCGGCTTCACGCCACTAGCACCGATCAATAATACACCTCACCCTAGCATCGCAGAAGACAAAAACCAACCTGGAAGGGGTAAACCTCGAAGCCAAAAGGTGACAACGTGGTCTCAATTTTCTGCTTCAGATCTGCGACTTGAGGGTCCATACTGAACGCTACACGCCAAGCTTGCTGGGGAATGGAGTCTCAAGACAGCTTGAGTCATTAACTTTTAGGGGAGCTTGGACTTCATTTCCCAAAAACTGTGGGATGCGTAGAGGGACTGCGCAATGCCTACTGGGATATGTAGTTCATTTGGTCCTTAGAAACAACCATTGTAGAATCAGAAAGACTCGGTTTCCCAGCAAGCTTCACGGCAGGGGTGTGACTGCATATATTGCCTCTCGGGAAACGTAGTTTGGTAGCCAGCTTTAAGCGTTGTCTATGGGAGAAGCGAACTCCGTTTCCCAAGTAGGGCTGCGGCAACTGGTCGAAAGTCGGCCTTTCCTGGTCTACTGGAGGCTTTGAACCCAGAGGCGGCAGTAGCAGCTGGCTTAGGTTCGGTGTGATGACGACAGTATCCTGTGTCTGAGGAGGTCTCGACCAAGATTCAGCACCTTCAACTCCCTCCTGATGTGTCCACATCAGGGTATCCCTTTCCCCCCCCAGTTTCCCAAGAACGCCTCTCCCCTGTCTAGTCCAAGAGGCGCAGTTTTGGTCTAATATTGCATCCTTATCCTTAGTATTCCCTATTTCAATCTGACATTGTGGTCTTTCCTGCCCTGTGCGTCGGTTATTCTGTGCTGGGAGAGTAAGGGCACAACACACCAGGGAGACATACCCCTGCTGCAGGCTATGAGTAAGACTCTGAGCTGGTCCGAGCAGCTCGATGCGCTTCTCAGTGCTACTGATGGAAATGTGGCCAGGATTAAGGTAAGGGGAAGTGAGACCCGGGTTTGGGAACGTGGGATAAAGGACTCAGATTTCATTGAAGATGCACTTATTATTATTATTATTATTATTATTATTACTATTATTATTATAGCAGCGGTTGTATCCCCTTGGAGTCTCAGCTGCAGGTAAGTATTGCCCCTTTTTTTATTCCCTTTCAGGATTTCTTTTCCCCTTTCAGGAAGATTTCTTTCAGGGTCTTCCTTTTCCACCACCTGTACCATCCACTCTTCCTTTCAAGTGTCCAACTATTTCCTTTCTTGAACAAAGATCTGTTCCCCTCTTCCCACCCCCCAAGTCTTCTTTCCTCAGCAGGAGACCTGACTGGAACCTGGATTTCTCCTCATCACTTGCCTCCCCAACCAGGAACCCAAGCTCAACAGCCTTGGGCTCTAGAGACTCCTATTGTTCCAGAGAGGCTGAGTTGGGCTGAGGCCCATAGCACATCTCTCAGGGATGAAGTTACTATTCTCAGATCCCAGCTTCGAACCCAGGCTCAGGTGAGGCTCGAAATCCTAGGCGTGTATGTATGCTGTTGTGTGAGACAAGGGTACCATGGGTTGGGGAAGCCGCTTACCCAGTAGCTCATGTGGTTTTCTGCCTGGGTAGGTGACTGAGGCACTAAGGCAAGCTGTGCGGGGCCTGCTGGAAGAGCAAGAGCAGCAGAAGTACCAAATTTGTGCCCTGGAAGGTATCTGGCTAGTTTATTTCTTCATACACAAAGCCTTATACACATGCAAACAATTTTATTGTACACCTGTTGTGTGTGCATTTGCGTCTTGAATTGGAAGTGGAGTCTGTAGGCTCATATGTGAAGCTCTTAGAGTGGTTGATCCCCCAACTTGTTCCATTTATAGCATCACTGAGGTTGCTGCAGGGGGGCCCAGAGCGGAAGGCTCTGCTTTTGGAGCAGCGCCTGGACAGGCTGAGAAGGGAACTGCAGGGTCTTCGAATCCAGGTGCAGGAACAGGCCCAAGCCCAGATACAAGCAGGACCACAAAAATGCAGTGCTACCAGTGGCCTTCGCCAAGAGCTGCAGAATGAGTAAGTGATGGGCATGACTTCCCCTTCAGGCCTTTGGATTCCTGGTACTCTGGTAGCCTCCTCTGGGCTTGTTGATTGGCTTTAGATGGGCTGCTGTCATCCCTGTAGGAGGCAACTGCTATGGGAGGAGTCGGAGATTCTGAGGGAGGAACTGAAGTTGCTGCGGGACCAGCTGAGTAAGTAAAAGACTGGAGGAGGGTATGAGTTCAGCTGTTCTCTTTTCTGGAAAGCCTTCTTTTTCTCCCAGTAAGTGGCCATAGCTCTAATTGCTTGAGCTACTTAGCAGTCTGGTGACCATTTTGGTCTTGTCTCCAAAGGTATGAGTCTACTCTCCCTAGTCAGCTTGGACGCTTCCTGTTATCTGGACCAGCATGTTTATATCTCAGTTCAGCACCATACTGGGTACAAGGCAGGGAGGGGGAAGGAAAGAAGTTGGAGAAGAGCTTTATTACATTTTCTCTTATCTGCAGCCCAGCATCAGGAGCTGATGCTGAAACAGATGGCTGAGGGGCGGCAAGCTCAGGCTCGTAGCTGGAAGGTAGGACCAGGATTGGACCTATCCCATCAAATCTCCCTGTGGAGGCTCTTTCCTCTCTCTTGTCTATCCTGTTCTTCAGGCAGGCCGGGATGCCCTCTCTCACCCCTATCTTTTTCTCTTCTCTGTGATGACTCCATCTCCCTTCAAAGCTCTTCTTCCCAAGCCCTCTGTTCCAGGCCATGAGAAACTGTTCTTGCCCACTAAGGGTTCCATGTGTGTTGGAGTGGCCCATTATGGAGAGGTGGGGAGTGTTTCTCCTGGAGAGGGAGAGGTTTGGTTCTACCTTGGCACCATAATCTGGCAGATGTTGGAGAAGCTGCAGAGTGACCAGGAGGGCAAGGAGGCTGCCAGGATAGAGGCCCATGATGCCCGGCGGAACCAGGACCTCCTCAGGTCAGGGGGTGTGAATACCTGTGGCAGTGGAAGGGATATGTTTCATAGAGGCCAGGCATTGGGGTCCAAAGTTTAGCTATCCTATATATGACTTGGGTCAGTAGGGAGAAATAGGAGTATTTGGGATATAGTCCATAAGGGAAGTACTGAGCATTCTTTACTTGATATGGAGTCATGGAGGTATCTTTATGTGTTTGGAGGATAAAGACGGAGGCCAGCGCCTTAGAAAGGAGGATAGTTCTGTGCTGGAAGGGCCCCCTTCACCCACCATCACCATTTCTGCCTCTCATTTTGTTTCCCTTTCCAGGACTTCCGTCCACATCCTCCAGTCTAAGATACCCCTAGCTGCCACCTTTGCCACATCTCTTCCTTCATCTAGCTCTGAAGCCATTCGTGAAAACAGTAACAGTAGCTGGGAATTTCTAAGGAAGCTAGGTGAGGGTAAGGGCAGGGAGCCCAGTTCTGGGGGAGGCTGAATCTGAATGGTGCCCGAATGCCACCTGCATAATTGTTTGGCACTAGGTAGAATGGAGTCTCTGCCTCTTTCTTTGTGAGTCCATCAACCTCTTTTGCTACTTATCCCAAGTCAGGACTGTGTTTGTCTCCGTTTCAGACAGGTCCAGGGCCTAGTTTTGTGTATCACAGTGCTTGTTGATGTTTTTTTTTCCTCTTTTTCCTTTCTTTCCTCTTAGACCTCCAGAAGAGCACTCTCTCTAACCTGGAACCCAGCAACTTTCAGCTCCAGACCCAGAGCATTGAGCAGGAGGACCTGTCCTTTAGTGGCCCCAAGATACTCCTGAGTGACCTGTAAGGACTTGGAAGAATAGTAAGATAAAGACTTCTTTGCTCACCTTCCCCTCCAAGGCCTTGTTTCTGGGCTCCCTGCCCCTCCCCTCTTGATCCAGCTGGTATCTGCCCTCCCTACTGAGCCTGGTCACTGCCTGCCCACCTGCCCACCAATTGCAGTAAAATGGTTTAATTCTCCCCGATGTGTTTTCTGTGAATCTGCATCCACATGGGATAGACTCAGCTGTACCTTTTCTTCCTGTAACATGACTGCTTCTTGCCACTGCTTTGTCTGAAATCTAAGTACCTTCAGTTCAAACTCAGTGCTCAGTGGAACTTGGAAGGCGGTGGTAGCTCCCATTCTGGTGGATAGAATGAGGTAAGACAAAGCTCTGGGGCAGTACTATTGTGGGGATGCAGAAGCAGGCAAGACACTCTGATTGGCCATGGGTGTAGGCAGTAGGAGGCTTTCTCTTCATGTCTCCAGCTTCTGCTCTTGAGGCTCACTCCTGCCCTTTTACACCTCCGCATTCTTAGCATCCCAGCCTACATTTCTGTATCAGTCTACTCCCTGGCCTCTCTTCTTTCAGTCTCTTTGCCTCTAATCCAGTGGCTTTCAGAATTTTTTGACTGTGACCTCCAGTAAGAAATAGGTTACACTGTAGCTTAGTAAATACATATGTGTATATGTATTAACTGAAACACATGTAATGATTTAATACCTATGCTTACTAGGAGTGATGTACTTTGGTATTTCCTATTTCATTAAAAAAATGCTTTGTGGCTACTGATTCTGATCCTTCCACCATTGGGTTGCTCTTTGGAAAATGTATCTTCCTAGGTAGACTAAGAAAAGCATTACTTTCTTTTTACCTGGGCTTTGTATTCTAGACGGGATTTTCGTAGTAACAGTATCTCACTGAAGTTTCATGAGATCTCTTCCATGTCTAAATGTAACCAAAAGATAATGCCAATTCATCAAAGTGGATGTTTATTGAGCATAATACATTACCAGTTCTGGTATGTATTTGCCCTGAGCTAAGGTGTGCAATGGGCTCATGTAAAGGTCCCAGCTCTTAGCTCAGTCCAGTTGGGAGGAGGAGACAGTTATCTGAAGTAAAAGCATCATAAAAGGCCGATGGCAGGAACTACTTCCTTTATGGGGTGCATTCAAGGCCCTGGCATAACGGGTCATAAAGAGTGGCCTTTGAGACCTGAATAAGGCAATCCTTGGTTCTTACCCTTCAGCATTAGGGAGATTGCTGAGAGTGGAATGGTAGAGACCAGGCCTGGGACAAACAGAACCTGTTTACTTGATCTTAGTCAAAAGGCTGAGAAGCAGTCAAACAGCCTGTTAAAAAGATAAACAAAAAATGCCCCCCAAAACTTTCCATCAAGGCTCATGAACTAGGTATATGGAACCCCTGGCTTTTATTAATTTATTTTTTAATTAAATGTCTTTTAGAGATGGAAGAAGGGAGGGAGACAGAGAGGACAAAAAACATTGATGTGAGAGAGACATCAATCGGTTGCTTCTGATATGTGCCTCATCTGGGACTGAACCAGCAACCCAAGTATGTGCCCTGACCAGGAATAATCGAACTGGCAACTTTTTGCTTTGTGAGGTGATACCCAACCAACTGAGCCACCTGGTCAGGGTAGGAACACCTGACTTTTAAATGTTTTCCTAGTCAGGTCATACATCTGTCATGGTGGCATTATTTAATTCTACTTGCTACCAGTACTCTACTTATTCATCAACTACTTTGTATTAATTAGAGTGTGGGAGACAGGTTTGCAAGGGTGCCAGAACTGTAACAGCAAGAACATTTAATGGCTGTGTGGAACAGTGGTATTTGAACTATCACCAGGTGGCAGCACATGACTTGTTTCCAGAAGAATAATACAGAAAAGGCTCTGGGCCAGGGGGACCAGGCTAGGGTGCTCGCTTTTCTCCCTTTAGAGAGTATGAACTAACAATCTTCCTAAAACTATCCTGTCGAGGCTTTTGTCCTGCTAGGAATCTTTTGTATACAACGTAAAAAAGAAAGGACAAATTTGGCATCGAAGCCCAAGTCACATTCTTTTTAAAAGATTTTATTTACTTTTAGAGAAAGGGGAAGCGAGGGAGGAAGAGAGGGAGTGAAACATCAATGTGAGAAAGAAACTGCCATCAGTTGCCTCTTGCACACCCAGAAGTGGGGACCTGGCCTGCAGCCCAGGCATGTGTCCTAACTGGGAATTGAACCGGCGACCTTTCCGTTCACAGGCCACCACTCAACCCACTGAATCACACCAGCCAGGGCTAATTCACATTCTTATGTTCTACCATACATCTTTTAAAAACTTTATTGCTACCAGGAATGTATACCACCTATATCCTTATCCATGGGGAATATGTTCCAAGACCCTGAGTGGATGCCTGAAATTAGAGTATTGAACCCCATATATACTATGTTTTTTCCTATACATGCATACCTATAATAAAAAACTTTATAAACTAAGCACAGTAAGAGATTTTCAACTAAAAATAAAGTAGGATAATTATGACAATATGCAGTAATTAAAATTATGTGAATGTAGTCTCTCAAAATATTATAATGTACTCATACTTTTTGTGAAATGCCTATGTGAAGAGATGAAATGAGGTGAATGAGACATTAAGAGTTAGTTTACCTGAACATAAGCAATGGCAACATGACAGTCGAAATAGCTACTAAGTGACTAACCAGCACGTGGATAGCATATGCATCATGGATATGCTGGACAAAGTGGTGATTCACATTCCAGGTGGGATGTAGTGGGACTACATGAGATTTCATCATGCTATACAGAATGGCTGCAATTTAAAATCATGAGTTGTTTCTGGAATTCATACAACAATTGACCATGGGTAACTGAAAACTACAGAAAGTGAAACCGAGGATAAGAGTGGACTACTTATTCAAATTCCGCTCATCTTGACAGTTGAGTCTAAATATGTAGGAAAGATGATCTCTAACCCCAGGGAATGGTGGTGCAAGAAGGCCCATATTCTACTGTTCCTTTGCCTGTTCTTGCCCTTCTAATTTTTTTTAAGTTATGTATTTTTAGGGAGGGGAAGGGGGGGAGAAAGAGGGGGAGAGAAACATCAATGTGTTGTTGCCTCTGGTGTGCCCAGCACCGTGGACCTGGCCTGCAACCCAGGCATGTGCTCTGACCTGGAATCCAACGGGGGACCCTTTGGTTTGCAGGTGGCATTCAATCCACTGAGCCACACCGCCAGGGCCTCTTCTAGAAGCCTGTTGCAATCTGCTCGGGCATAAGATTGAATGCCTGAGGTCCAGGCGCATGAAGAAATATGTGCTTGTTGAATAGCTGAATAGAATTTTACTCTCTGCTCAGCTCTTTCAAAATCCTGTTTTCAGGCCAGCTAAAGTGTTACTTCCTCCCAGAAGCCTTCACCAGAATTAATCTCCTAGCCTAGCTTAATTACTCCGTCAGCATTTGGTTTAACCCTACCCACTGCTGCTACTCTCGCGAGTCATTGATACAGTTATTGTTTATGTAACAGTTTTCTCAGCCGGTATACTGAGATCGGAAGGACACTTCATTCACAGGACTTTTCCGCAGATAGTTTTACTTAACTATACCTTCACCAACCCAAAAGCCGCGCCAGTCTAATCCATTTTCTTCGGGGCTTGTCAATTACTACTAGTTTATATGTTTGGAATTTTGATTGGTCCGTTTTGTGTTTACTGTCCCGCCTTTTGCGAGGATCTTGGACTTGGAGTTCTACCAGGTGTAATCCCTCAGTCTCTGTACCTCCTTTCCAACACACTGCCTCTTCTGTTTTTACCCTCATTTCCTTCCTATTGGTTTCCTTCGTCCTCCACGGTTGGCGCCTAGGGCTGTTGATTGGCTTTTCTGGACGCCCATTGTGCCCACCACGTGGCATTCCTGACTCTAATTGGGCAATTCCAACCGTTCGTTGATTAATAATTGCCTAGTGGGAGGGCTTAGGGAGGGCGTGGCTCATTGAAGCCCCGCCCCGCCCCCCTCCGACCGGCTGGGCAGTAATTTCAGTTGCTGGCGGCAGGGGACTCCGGCGGATCTTCCATCTGCCCTCTCAGGCTCGCGGGCCAGATCGTCTTGGCCCCGCCAAACGGGCCGTGGGGAGCGGTCCGAGTGCCGGGCCATGGCAGTGCACTCCTCGTCCTCCGCTCGCCCCGCGGAGTCTCCGGCTTCAGAGCGAAGGACCCCCACCACCTCCGCAGGCTAAGAGCCGCTGCCGCCTCGGAGCTGTGAGAGCTACTATGCTCCCTCTTTGCCGCCGCTTCCCCCACTCGCTCGCGCAGGCACCCCTCGGGCAGCTCAGTCCCGCCTCAGGTAACGCCGAGAGAGTGCGTGGGGCACAAATTCGGGGCACTCCGCCCGGGCGCGCGGCCGCTACACCCCCTCGGCTCCGGAGCGCTCGCGTCTCTCGGCACCGACAGGACCTCTTCACTTCCCAGAGGTGTCCCTCTCAGCGGTTGGGGGACATCCCTGGACCCCTTTCCCTTTCCTTCTCACTCTCCTCAAGGTCCCGGCACAACCCCCACCCCAAACCCCTCATCTTCGCAGCCTCGGAGGCCTGCAGCCCGTGAGAAGTTCCTTCAAATCGTGGACCTGGTCCCTGACCCCTCTCAGGGACTTTCCTCACTTCAGAAACGCAGGAACCCTTCATTTCCTCAGAGAGCCGTTTCTGTCTCAGAAGCGGTCCAGCTCCGCGCTGAGCCTCCTCGTCTCGGTTCCACGCCCTCCCTCAGAGATTTGGTCTCCTGCACTTCACTTCCCTCAGACTTCCCCTTCCCTGGAAACGTGCACTTCTACCCTGGAAAGAACGTTCCCTCCCCCCGGACACTCCTGCCTCCCTCGCCTCTTTTCCTCCCTGCCCTTCACTTCCCTCCTTTTCCCTCCTCTGCCTTTTATCCTTCGCTTTGGAGACTCTGGACTAAGCCAATATCCAGGTTGAGCTAGAAGTGAAACTCCGGTTTGTCTGATTTAAAAACCTTTCAATTTATACCGCTGAGAACACCTTGCCGAATAATTTGGACTTTATGGTATGTAGGTATGGGGAGCCATTCATTGCAGGTTTTGTGAGTAGGAGTTTGTTCTGACTGATTATCTCTGATGAAAATGTGGAGGAAGAATCGAAAGTGAGGACGTCGGTGTAGTGG